TGGAAAGTGTTTTTCTGAGGATGAAGAGCTGAAGGCGGCGATTAACGCACATTCTGGGGAGAATGAGGAAAAATATTCGTGCAATAGTACTGAGAAGTTAGTTTTCCGGGAAGCAAGTAAATTGAGGTCATCGAACTACAATGAAAAATGATTGATCAGAATTTTCTGTATTTTTCTTCATACCTATACCGAGAACACATTGAACACCCCTCGTATGTTCCCCTCATCGCAATCACATGCCCTCGCTTGGCATGACCCAACTTCAGACGTTTGCCGGCTGAAAAAGAATTTGGCGAAGTCAAAATTTAATTGTTTTGCACAGGCTGTCAATTCCACCTGATAAAGCATGAAGTGTCAGCGGAAGTTCTAGAAAACCTCATTCCCGTTGGTTCGCATAACAATAACATAATAAGGATTTGACGGCTGTTCTCGAATAGTACTTATCCCACAGACGGTTAAGTGAAGTCCGAAAGAGCGACGGACTTCCCCCCACCCCCACCTGAGCCATCACTCTCTCTTTGAGGACGAACAGTCCGCTCAAATCCTTGGATCCCGGCCCTTGCCGTGGTGGACTGAGTATGTCCGCAGCTGGAGTAGCGTGCTACCTTCTTCGGTCAAAATTGCACGAGTGCCGGATCGGAGGGTAATTGCACACGGGTGCAACTTCTATATTTCGCCCGCGCTGGCGTACGGTCAGCTGCACGCCGATCCATAGCCAAACGTGCCGTTTGTCTATGCCATGTCACTCCTGGTTGATCTTTACCGCTGCGTGCGTCTTTCACTGCAGGACCTTTGTATTGACGCAAGTGCTACACCGTAGCACTAGTAAGTACAGCCTGGAGACGGTACTATGCCGCGTTCCCGTGATTTTTGAGAGTACAACGTGGCACGCTACAGCAGCTGCGGCCTACTCGCCTCACATGAAGTAAGGACCGTCGCCCAAGTGAGTGTACAGTTTCTCCCACTGGCAGAGCTGACTTAGTGGAGAAAGTCATAGACGTCTGATAGATTCAGCCTTTGACCAATGTGCAGAGTATCATTCGAACTGGCACGGATGAAAAGGCGGTTTCAGTGCGATCCTCGGCATTTCCGTCGAAAATATGGACCTTCTTCCATAACTCATCTTCCAACTTGCTAAGCTTTACCAAAACTGCCGACGAGTTCCGTGAGTCCTGCCGCCAACTAGGTGGAGCACATAGTGAGAAGAAAACGGCAAAAATGTCCTGTCGGGCGCCAGTTGGGAAGAGCGGAAAAGAAGCGGCAGAAATAAACATTAGGAAAATTTCTCTCGAAACAAAATGGAACCCCTCGCTCTTCCTCAGGGATCAAACACGACCTCCTGATGGTTTTCACATAGTCTAGTTCTGATGCAGGGGGTCTGAATCGAAAACCCTCACAGTAAGCCGTCGCTGTCGGCCAAGTTTCCCACCCCATACTTTTGCACGTAATGGAGGAGAACTGTTAAGGATTACCTAAAAGTCGCATCAATTTCTTGTAGAGATGTGGTACCGCTTCGCAACCGCTCGCTTCAGTGACGCATATGCAGCACGACTGACGAGAGTCTACTGTTTCCACGACGCAATCCTTCCTGATTCAGGGTTTGCACAAGCTCTACTCGTTGATCATCAAGAATGCTAAACTGCCGTCGATACCCGACGAATTGCTACGGTACACGCCAAACCTAATACTTCTTGATTTGCGAGGCAATGAATTGCGGATCGAACCTAATTCAGTGCGATCATTACGGTGAGTTTTCAATGCCGAAGTTTTATGAGATTTCTCAGGCTTCAGTAGGAAATGTTCTTGAGTTTTGATGGAACAGTAGCTCATTGCAACGGTCCGTGCTTTTTCAGAAATGCCATTCATGAAGCGCCTTCCAATTATCATAATTTTTAGCCGCAGTTTCAAATTTTCGAACATCCTCCTTCTGTATGAAGGCATTTCTTCCAGCGGTAAATGGTGATGAAGCGGTGTAACTAATCATTTTGAAGGCACATTCCACGTTAGCGATATGGGCGGGGTCTGGCTCAAAACTGCTCCCTCCTTACTGGCGCTCTTTTTATGCTGTTCTAGCTTAGGATAGTGAGCGCACCATGAAGAAGGCACAATGGTAGGTTTAGCTCCGCCCATCTGACTAACGAGGAACCTTCCTTCAAATTGCACGCAGTGACCGAACAAAAGTAAGAGAGTCCTGGCGGCCAGGGAAGTTTGCAAAAGCACGAAAATGGCTTGGGCTTTTGCGATGGTCCGCATATGGACTGGACGGTTGAGCTGATTTTAATTTATCTCTCTTTCATAGGAATTTGACTCATTTGGACTTGAGTAATAATTCGATCGAGTTTCTCACGAACACACTGCTTTCGTTAACAAGTCTCATGGTGCTGGCTATAAACAACAACAAACTCACGAGTATCGATTTTCGAAGGTTAGTTTACAATTTATATTGTTCTTATCGCCGCA